CTTCCTCTGAGAAATGGAAGGTCTAGATTAGATTCTAAGGCTCTTTTCAGTTCTGGGAATCTGTGGTTCTGTGACATGATTCCCATTATCCAGGAGAAGAGGAAGCAGCTTTTGGGACAATTGGTGGGGTAAGCTAATAAGGAATCCTGTGTTGTAGGGGACTGCCTCCTCTCCATCAAGCCCCAGGAGAAATCAGAGGGACTTCAGCTTAATTTTCAGCAGGTGAGGCAACAGCTCTGTGGACATAGGGGTTTGCGGGTTTATAAGGAAACATCTAGGCTATTAAAGAGAATCCTTTCTTCTGCTTCTCAAGAGGGTTCCTTGAACTATGACTTCTTTCTGCAGGAGGAGGGTATATCTCTGTCCTAGAAATGTGTTCACTTACATAAGATAAAGAAGGGTTGAGGCAGGGGAGCAATGGAATTTCCTGTAAGAGACTCAGGGAAGAAAAGCAGCAGGATTTAATTTTTTATTTCTGGAGGTGGGAGTGGAGGGGCAAGTAGGCAGGCTAGAATATCCATCATTTTCTTTTTCTTTTTCCAGCTTTATTGAGACATGATTGACATATAACATTGTGTAAGTTTAAGATGTACAATGTGCTGATTTGATACATCTGTCCTTTTCCTTTCTACCCCCAGAATGTGGACGATGCAATGACAGTGCTGCCTAAACTGGCCACAGGTCTGGATGTCAATGTGCAATTCACAGGTGTCTCTGATTTCGAGTACACACCTGAGTGCAGTATCTTTGACCTACTAGGCATACCTCTGTACCATGGCTGGCTTGTTGATCCGCAGGTGCGAGTGAGAGGGCTCAGATGTGGTGCTTACCTGACTTGTGCTCTCAGAGAAGCAGCATCTTGTGGGGCAGAGGCAGGGGTGGTGGGGATGAGACTGGCTTGGAAGAGGAGTAGGATTTAGAGGCTGAACCCAGTGCAGAATTCCTTGTCTTTCAACCTTTTTTTAGGTGGGGGTAACATTCAAATACAAATAGGTCAGTTCTTTAGCTTCAGAAGTTTCAGGAGCCCTTGGTTGTAGGGTTGCAGCCCTGTGGGCTTGCTTCATTTCCTTTCTAAACATATCTCAATTTCTTTTTTTGTATCACCCTACCCTGCTGCCTGTGCAGAATCCTGAGGCTGTGAGTGCAGTTGGGAAACTGAGTTACAACCAGCTGGCAGAGAAGATCATTACCTGCAAGCACTCCAGTGACACAAACCTCATGACGGAAGGTGATATCCCTCCCTTCTTTAGGTCTTCTGTGGAGGGAAAGGTGGCTACTTAGGTTTATTGTGTATTGTTTGTCTCCCCTCACCACACCCCACTAGAATGCAAGCTCCATGGGAGGGAGTTGGGGGACTTGTCTCTTTAGTTCACTGACGTGTCCCCAGTGTGCAGTACAGGGCCTGGAAAAACTCAGTAACTATTTGTTGAATGAATGACCACAGCCAGGCTTCAAGGAAGGAATTTCAGAAGGTGGGACAACCACTAGGGTTTTTGACAGGAACTCTCTGGCTGATACTTCCTATTGTGGACTTTGGATGTAAGCCAAGTCTCCCCTCCACAATCTTGTGCCCTCCTGGCAGGCCTTATTGCAGAGCAGTTCCTGGAGACCACGGCGACACAGCTGACCTACCATGGACTGTGTGAGCTAACAGCAGCTGCCAAGGAGGGCGAACTTAGCATTTTTTTCCGAAACAACCACTTTAGCACTATGACTAAGCACAAGGTGATGAGGCTCTGGAGGTGGTGGGGTTGGAGTGTGTTCATTTCCTTATGCCCCTTCTTTAGTGTTTCAGTCAGGATAGGATAAAGCTCTGGGAACAAATGGCCCCTAAAATCCCTGTGGTTTACCACACCAAACTTTTCTTTCTCACTCATGCTGCATGTCTATAGCAGACTGGCTGCAGTTCTGTCCCATGGCCTCCCCAACTCTGGGCCCAAGCTGACAAAACAGCATGTATCTGGAATACAGGAGGGAAAAGATGGGGGCACTGTGCACTTGCTTTTAGTGCTTCCACCTGGCAATGCTACATGGCATTTCTGCTAACATCTTACTGGCCAGAGCAAGTCATAAGAAATAAGCCTGCCATCAATGGAAGAAAGTAGTATACTTTCCCAGGAAGGGACAGTGGAATTTTTGAACAATATTATAGTCTTCCAAAGTCAGAAGTTGTCATGCTCTCTAGGAACTGAGTAGAGGAGGGAAAGGTCTTTGGTTCTCAACGGATTTATCCTGTAGCCATCAGGCAAGCCCAGAAAAACATTCAAAGTATGGTGAGAAGCAGGATATTGTGTGGGACCCCAGCCCTGAGGACTTTATGCTGGACCACAGTGACTGCCACACTCACACCCAGCTGACCATACACAGACACCCCTTTCTTCTCCCCACAGCTGCACAAATTTATAAATGCTCACAATGACACATTCCAATTAGCACACCAATTGATTCATATGGTTTCTGTATTTCAGATAATTTCTGGCAGTAAACTGCCTCTCTGTTACCTGTCCTACCAGTTAGCTTTGTGCTCTTTTTTGCAGAGTCACTTGTACTTACTGGTCACTGACCAGGGCTTTCTACAGGAGGAGCAAGTGGTGTGGGAGAGCCTGCACAATGTGGATGGGGACAGCTGCTTTTGTGACTCTGACTTTCACCTAAGTCATTCTCTGGGCAGGGGACCTGAAGCAGGATATGGGAATGGCTCCTCAGAAAAGCAGCAGCAGTTAGACCAGGTGTGTGTGGCCTTTGGGCAGGGTGCGGAGAGCTCATTTGCTTCAGAGAGCAATTTTTTTTTGCCATAGATGAGGTGCATGCCTTTTGTCATCCAGAGATTATAATGTGTTGTACCCAAGCCCTCTACTCCCTGCTGCCTTCGGACCATCTCTGTGCTGTGTATGTGTTCTCTGGCACACGTGGCTCTGTGTTTTGATCTGGAGGAGGAGCTGGAGAATTTGAAGGATGAGGCAAAACTGGTTTGGGAACCTAAAGCTAGCCCAAATTTCTCCCAGACCCCAGCCCGCCTCAAACTCTTGTTCTTCGTACCCCCTCTCCAGGACTACCTGATTGCTCTGTCCCTGCAGCAGCAGCCACAAGGTGCACTGGGGCTCAGTGACTTGGAGCTGGCCCAGCAGCTTCAGCAAGAGGAGTACCAACAGCAGCAAGCAGTCCTGCCTGCCCCTGTGCGGGTCCTGCCACCGCCCGTAAGCCTGCTGCCCCCTGCCCTCTGCACCGCTTCCCCTCTGGTGTTGCCTCCTGCCCAGTGTTCAGCCCCTGCGTCTTCTGATCTGAACACTTGTCATTCCTGCAGTTGCCTCTTCAAGCTTTCCCATGGGGCCTTTCCCCTGTCTGTCCCTCTCCCCTGGGTCCCTTCCTGTTTTTCCCCTTGGTCCCTTTTGATCCTGACCCTGGTTCCATCTAGAATCTCTATCCTTGTGCTCTGCCAAGGCTGATGGATGACCAACTGTTAAATCTGATGCAGGGGAGAGGAGCCACATCTGGACGTCCAGCTGGGGACCGTCGGCAGAGGCTGAAGCAGGAGTCCGACTGTGTCCTCCTGTAGCTCTGCCAAGTGCCAGGCCGCCCTGTCTCTTCTTTCAGAGGTCATGGCTATTTTGCTTGCTCCTCTAGCTCAACCCTGAGATACACAGGGTAACTTACTTATGGACTATTGGGGATCAGAGCAGGCAGTAAGCGCCAGGGTCAGACTCGATAACATCTTTACCCTCATGGGCTGCTCAGCCTTTCTAACTCCCATTCATCCCAGGCAATGTTGGGACTGGTGGGGTGAGGATTTCTGATCCTAACTGCCTTCCCCCAGAATAGTTACACTAATATACAGACTCAGGCTCCAGGAGAAGTCCATGTCTAGAATGCATCTCCCAACTTCCCACCCTTGACTGGCTGGGTCCTCCTGACTATCTTGAGAACCCATCTCCGTTTGTTTCAGAGTTTGATTTGGGTTTCTATCTCCATTATTTGTAATATCTTTCTAGGGGTTTGGAAATAAAACTTTCCTGAGATCTGTTGTTTACCTTACCCTGCAGCAATGGGGATAAGTATTTGACCCAATTAAGGAATGTGAAAAGACTGCCGTTGGCTTAAGGGGGTGGGCGGCGGTGTAGAGAGGCGCGAGGAAGTTGCCTGTTATTTCCATTAGAGCCAGCAGGGGGGACCAAAGCCTTTTTCCTTCTTTGTGTTTATCTGTTTTTGACCGGTCTTCTGTGAGAACAACCCTCTAATTTGAGAGGTGGGTGTCTAAGTCCTGCTTTAGGACAGATAAATTTGGGGATCATGCTTCCTGCTAACTCAAGACTTGCCAGGCAGGGGAGGCCAGCTCGATCCCAGTTAGCCCGATGCTCCTTCCCTACCTCTGACCGTTTCATTTCTGACCTTGTTCTGGTTCCTGCTTCTCAATTATTTTGCCTGAAATTTACAGGCAAAGAGAGAATAATGGGGGTGAGGGAGACATGGAGAGGAGGGAGTTATTGAAAACTGTGGCAGTAGAGCCCAAAACAGAATCCCTGTTGAAAACCCAGGTGCACATCAAAGGCACCTCCAACTTGAAGGCCCTCTCCTGGCCCACGTCCTGTTTCACACAGACTTGAGTTGGAGACCACACATGACCATGAAGTTTGCCAAAAGAATTCAAGTATCAGTAAGATGTTCTGGGCAGGCATGGGGAGGGTGAGTAGGACAGAAACCATCAAAGAGATCCCATTATCCTATACCCAAAACAGAGCTGGGGGACCCAGATACAGACATCACTTTGAGATGGAAATTAAGGGATTTAAAAGAACTTCTGAGTTCCAGCTTCAACAAGAAGCTAGAACATGTCATGCTCAGTGAGGGGTTATTCTCTCTGGAGGCCCAGGTGGTCTGCAGGCTCAGCCAAAAGTGGGAATCTCAGATACTTGAATGTCATGTGGGGATGGGGGGCAGGGAGGTCTTATGCATAGGGCTAGTAAGGCTGCCCAGCAGACCCCTTTCACTGCATCCTGTAGACAATGAGTCAAGTGTTAGAAAGACCAACCATCACCATGGCCCAGGCATTCTGTCCCCTCCTTGTGCTGGTCCCAAACTATATGGTGTCTGGAAACCTGCACTAAGTTAACCAAAGATTCCTGAGTTGTCCAGGATGTGAGTGTGCTCAGCTGTGTGCAGGGAGGGCTGAAGGGAGGTGAGGGGTGAGTGAGGGGTGAGCTTTGGGGCTCCAGGTTAAGAACTAGCCACATCTCACCTGGGGAGAAGAGTACAGGGACTTCCCAAATTTCTTTTTGAATTCAGCTCGGATTCTTAGAAGGTCAGTCTCACTTCGAAAGATAAGAATGCACATTAGGACTTGGGATTTGGGTTCAGCTTCCTGGTAGAGTAAGAAACAGAATGGGGAGGGCGGGGTAGTAAGATTCTCACAGTGCAGAGATAGGATGGTGTCTTGCCAGTGGGTTTCAGCCCTGGGCAAGTTTGCTATGGATTCAATGTGACCAAAGAAAATGACAGCAAAATGTTCTTTGGGGTGAAAGGGTTTATTACCTGGCTTGTTCTCCTCGGAGGAAGGTTGAGCATTGGCGTCTCTTGTCTCCACCCAGAGCACTGGGCCGAACTCTCTACATAGTGCAATAATAGCTTATTGCCTAAAGGTGTGGAAGCAGTAGCCTAGCAACAGACCAGTTACATCATCAGGTGGTTTAAGTTCAGTGAGGATCTTGGCCATAGGAACCCCAACTTCCCCACACTCCACTCCTCTAGGATTCCGCCTTACAATCTACATGATTTCAGTCTTCGGCAGTGGTCCCTGGGCGAGAAATCTGGAGCACTAACCAAATTCCACAATAGCAACAGAGGTTACCGATAACTTAGAGATAATAACAATTAAGATACAATAAGATTTTGATACAGGTAACAAAAATTATAATAATCCTTAAGCTAGAGGAGGTTCCTAATAACAAAAAATTATAATAATCCTCAAGTCAGAGGAAGTTCCCAATCCACAAAGACTTTAGGGGCAATAAGACACATGTTTTAATGACACCAACATAGGCAAATCTTGTCCATCAGGTAGGATGCATGCAAGAGAGTGGTCCTGTGATAGGACTGTAGCAGGAAGGGGGTCCCTTCCAGGTCTAGTATACCATACTTTTACTCCTTTCCCCATGGGGGTTCCTGAAGGGTCTATATATAGTGCTACTGGAGGTATATGCACTGGCCATAATGATAAAACAAAACTCCCCAGTAAGATGCTCCTACCTTCTGGCCATTCAGGATATATTACTGTGACCTTTGGCGGCCACTCTGCTGTTATTCCAGGAATACACAGAAGGCCAGCTTCCAGACCTTGTCCTCAAGGTGCCAGGAGAGCCAGTCATCGGTCCATGTTCTGAAAGGTCCAAGCCCATGCCCACTCAATGGAGTCTCCGGGGTTCAGTGAAGTTGGTACTGGCAGCAAGATGTTATTCTGGTGGCCGAACCTCAGCTTCAGTGATTCTTCCTTGGTTTGTACTTGCAGTTGTATAGGGGAGGCAGCCATATGTGCTAACATGTCTACAGGGCTCAGGGCTCCCTTTTGGGGTCTCTTGTTCAAATGCCATAGCACGGTCCATAAGTGGACTACCATCCCCACAGACTATTGGTATCTGACTTTTCTGCTCAGTATCAATGGAAAAGAAGGCATTAGCAAGATCTACCACATAATGGTATGTTCCTACTTCATGGCTGAGGGTATCCATCAAGCCTGCAATAGAGGGGACAGCAGCATGCATAGGGGGTATGACCTTATTCAGTTCTCTGTAATGCACAGTCATACGCCAGGAGCCATCTGGCTTTTTTACTGGCCACACTGGGGAATTGAAATGACTATGGGTGGGCTTTATAATATCCACTTTTTCCAGCTCCTGGAGAGTTTCTCCAACCTCTTTATGCCCTCCAGGCAGTTTATATTGTTTCGTATTAGTCACCCACCAAGGCACAGTCAAAGCTATGGGCAGGTCCCTAGCACGTCCCCTCAGAACTGCCTTCACCACATGTATTCTCAGTCTGAACTCACCTGCAGTGGTCTGCAACCATAGACCCTGCAGGATATCAATCCCCCAAATATACTCAGGAATAGGAGATCTATACATAGTATACTCTTTTGGGGGTAGATGCCCTATTCCCAAGGGATTTGGGCTTTTTTCACTCTGATAGCCTTCCCCCCATATCCATCGATGATAGGGGGGTCCCGGGGAACTGCTCAGGGTTACCATGAATCAGTGAACATTCAGCCCCTGTGTCCACCAGAGCCAGGACACATTGTATGTTCACTGGGGACCAATGGATAGCTATTTCAACATGTGGCCTCCGGTCCCTCAGGGTAGATGCCTCAACCTTCCCCTCAGTCAAACCGTATTCCCCAGTCACCTTCCTGTGTGGACTCAGGTGAAGTTGGCTTGCTCTCCAGCTGGAAGTCTTGCAAACACACAAACACACAGGCTGGACTTGTGCTCTGTCTCTGACCTCTGCCTCTTTGGTCTTAATGGCTGGAACTGCTGCTCTGGTTTCAGCTGTTGCCATAGCTCTAGTAAGAACCTATATGACTTCCCATCTAATTTCCTTCCATCTGCTCCTGCCCGTATTAAATCACCCCACATCTGGATCCTTATAACCTTCATGGGACCCTTTAAATTCTTCTTGTGAGTAACAGATCTTATTACTTTCTGGGATCTCATTGCTTCAGCCTCTCTTAAGTCTGCTACTGTACATGTGACCTCACTTATAGGCTGCCCTAAGTGAGGGGAAAGAATGGCCACTAGAGACCCAAAGAGGGATGTGGGAGCCATTTGAAACACAATATTTCTCATCCCAGTAGTGAAAATCTCTTCATCTGGGCCATAATCCTCTGGACTATAGATGGCATTTCTTCTGCCTAGCTCTTGTAACACCTGTTGGAGCTCAGCATACGTCTGCCATCTAACAGGAGAGGATGGTAGTTCACCCGGATTGGGCCACACAGCATGAAGTGCAGCCATAAGCCTATCGAGGAGGGAGTGACTCCCTGGGTCTGATGTGCATTTTGTAATTGCTGCCTTAAGGTGGGCTGCACTGTCAGGGAAGCCAGCTTTCCCATCTCTGATCCCAACAGAACAATTCCATCCACCCGTATGTCCCACAGATGCAGGAGCCAAGCTGATATTGGCTTCAAGGGCTTCTGCCTAAACCGGGAGCCCAAATCCACCAGCTCAGCCTGAGTATAGGGGCAGACCATAGACTGCTCCATGACCTGGGGAGGGGGCTGCTCCTCTCCTTGGGGAACTTTCAGCTGCTGGGTCTTTATTTTCTTTACAACTACTGGGCGTGCTTTCAATACAAGAGGGGCCAGTGCCTCTGGCACCATCCCTTCATCCTTCCCCAGCTCCTCCATTTCTGGGGCCGATCGCACCTTTCTCTCCCCTCTGCTGAGTGCCTCCTCTGCTACAACCTTTACCTTTTCTACTGTGCCTCACAGCAATGCTGCCTTAGTCTTCAGCAGCTCTCTTACCTTCAGCTCAATGCTTCACAGCTGATGTTCTCGTGTCACCTCCGCCTGTGCTTCCCTCAGGAGTTCATCTTTTTCCTTGAAGGCCTCTTCCTCCTGCAGAGCACCTGGCAGTGCTGCCATCTCGTTTTGTAAGAAATAATTTATCTTTTCAATGGCACCTTGCTGTGGCATTCTTGTGCTGCCTCCTCTCGCATCAATGCCATTTCCTTCTTCAGGGAATCCACAGAAGTTTGCAGCTTGTGTTCTCATGCTGCCATTTCTTGGGTCTTTTCTGAAGACTTTTTTAATACTGTGAGAAGCAGCCAACCCTCAGTCCCTGCTGCGTCACAGGCACTCTTTTTCTCAAAAGACCTACTTACTATACCAAGGGCCACCCCTACAGCCCCAGATGTCACCTCCACTTGCCTCCAGTCCTGGGGTGGGGCCCAGTCCTCTAGGAGGCAAGCCACGTCAGACCACATACTGATTGGGGAACAATCCACGGTCTCCCCATTCACAGGGGCAGTCCGCTGAACTACCCCTCCCATAAGGGCAGCCTGTCTTTTACCTTGGTCAACAGTGAACCCTGCTGACTTTCACCAATTGTCTTGCCAAAGGATTTCAGCCCCGGGCAAGTTTGCTATGGATTCAATGTGACCAAAGAAATTGACAGCAAAATGTTCTTTGGGGTGAGAGGGTTTATTACTCAGCTTGTTCTCCCAGTGTAAGGTCGAGCACTACCGTCCCCACCTCCTCCCAGAACACTGGGCCAAGCTCTCTATATAGCGCAATAATAGCTTATTGCCTAAAGGTGTGGACGTGGTAGCCTAGCAACAGGCCAGTTACATCATCAGGTGGTTTAAGTTCAGTGAGGATCCTGGCCATAGGAACCCCAACTTCCCCACAGATGCTATGGTAAATTATCCTAGGAAGGGGAGGGGAGGTATGAGTTCAGGGAAAAGAGAAGTATACACTGTGTAGGGGCAAAAGTTGTCTCTGTCCAATCTCATGGGAGATGACACAGTGGGCAGTCTCTCTGTGGGCAGCTGGAGCAGTTCTCATTCCTTTCACATCTTTCCTGGCCTTGCTGCTAGCTCAGAGCCTCCTCCGCCAGAGCTCAGTGGAGGCAGCTCCAAAGGCAGGCACTCAAAAATGGATAGCAAAGACTTGCCACCTATAAAGTTTACAGCATGAAAGCCAAGAATACTTTTTAACTTTCAAATAAGTGAATGTCCAAGGAAGATATACCCACCCTACCCCCAAACTGAGTTGACAGGGCTCTGATAGGGAGCAGGGTCATGTGGCTTTTGTTTCTGATCCTGACCCAGCAGGACCGGTTTTTACACAGCAGCTTCTCCTGGTCAGACCCCTTAGCATCACTGTTTTCCTTCCCTGCCAGCCATCCTTTGGGCCTCTCTGCCTGCACAGCCAACTCAGTCTCTGTCCCTGGGGCTGCCACCACTCCAGCCTCTGCTCTGCTCTCCTGCAGCCTTGCAGCCGTGCCACCGTGTCACACAGAACACTGGCCAGAGCTCCTTATATAGAGTCAATGGCAATGTATTGCCCGCACATGTACAGTGAGCTAGTCAACCAGGGCCAGGTGAGAATCCTGGCCATAGGAACTCTCATTTTATCCATACCAGCTTGCTGCATGCAGACTCGCTCTGAGTGAACAGGATTTTAGTGATTAACCTGCCACCGTGGAAATAAAGTTGGGTATAACCTGTTCACCCCAAGAACGTTCTACTGTCATTTCTTTAGTCACATTGAATCTATAGTGAACTTGTCTGGGGCTGAAACCATTGGTAAGACACTAGGATAAGAGAGCTGCTAGATGTTTATAAAGTAAATATGGGCTGTCACATTAGCAGCAGTGTGAAACATTCTCTTGCCTAGGAGTACACACCCCACCAAATGGAGCCATAAGGAGTGGCCCTCTCACCTGGAGGGCTTGATGAAGTTTATCAGCAAAGAACAGCGGTGTGTTCCTGATCACTGAGGCTGGAAGCTAAGAGGGAAAGGTGGAGAGAGAGGAAGCTTCCATTTCAGGAGAGACCTCTATCCTACATGTCCTGAGCAGGCCCCTACCTAGGCTGATCAGAGCCACCTGAGTTTCTCCATGGAAACAGTTCTGGACAGTCTTCTCCAGTTCATGCCCAGTGTACCGCTGGTACTGATCAAACACTTGTGCCAGGGGGAGGTAGGTAGAAAGATAAAAGGGAGCAAGTGTTGATATCACAGAGAAAGATGAACCTTCACCACCTTCCTCAGCCAGAGATCATCATTAGAGAAAACTGGGGAAACAAGGAGTTTTGTGTGTACCTCGGATGAGGTGTTCGGTATTTCACTGGGTGAAGATTATAGGACCCACATTGCCTCTGCAGGATCCTTCAGGCTGCTTCAGTGCCTGGGGGGAGGAGTCAGCCAGGATCAGTGGTTGGAGGCTAGGGAGCCATGGTTACAATGTTCTCAGAATCCATGATGATGATGGAAATGGGATTAAGTATAGAAAGGGTTATTTCAACCCATAAATTATTTAATCTGTAAACTGCTTTTGTGATTAAAAAAGAAAAATAAAGGAACAGGGCTGAGAGAAGTTAGATTTCCCAGTTTGGGAAAATCCTGGCACTCAAAGAATTAAAACCCCCAATGGAGGGTCTGAGGAGGGTTCCCCCACCCAAATGCCCATGAGAGGAGACTCTCAGTTGATGTGCTCACTTCCTTGAGTTCAGGAGTCAGAGGATAGGTGAATAAAAAGGCTTCAGAGGTGGCGCTAACAGCCCACCCCCACCTCTGTCACTGAGGACCCCTTCCCCAAGGCAGTGGCAGGTTCCCAGGGTGAATGGGTCACTGGCTCTAAGCTCTGGTACAGGAGGGCATCTTATGTGCATGGCTGTGCAAACTCCAAGCCCCTGCTTACCTGGACATCTTGTTCTGCCAGGTTATAGTCAATGATGTCAGAGTAGCTCTCATGGCCCCTCCAGAAGGAGACACCCTCTCAGGAGGATTCTTTGAGGAGAAGCTTTTTTATTATCTCCAGGCCAACAAACCAAGCATCAATGCTTCCCATTCTGTCCCACCCCTTCCCCAGGTGGTGTAACTTCCCTCCCCAGCAGGCCAGCCTTCCTAACCTTGGCCAGGGCCAGGAGCAGCTCTTTCAAGGTGCCACCGGTCTCAGATTTGATACCCTCAGCTTCCACCTGGAAATCTGGGGTGGGGTTGGAGCTTTCTGAATCCTCTTGATTTTTCCCAATATGGATACCCCCAGGACCTGTCAAAATCCTGATGCACTGTACCTTGCCAACACTGCTGTCCCCTGCTTGGAGCACCTTGATGGCTGCTCATTCCCAGGGTGTAAGGCAGGAGCACCATCAGGCCACCCTTAAAACATCCCTAAACTGTGAGTAACCCATGCACTGTGGACTCACGCTCTATAGGATGGCCTCGTCCCCAGGTGCCAACCTGTTAGGAGCAGAAGGCATCTGTTACTCAAGTGGTGACCAGACAGTAAAGGGAAGATAGGAAAGCCCATATTATGAGGCAAGATGGTGAGGGTCTGGCCCTCTCATTGGAGGCAAGGAAAAGTGATGTGGGAGGTAGGTAGATGTGAAGAAGGGAAAGAGCAGGAAAGTGGTAAAGGAAGGGAAAAGAGAAAAACAGAAGCAAGAAAAGAGGCCGGAGGGGGATTAGGAAGGTAGGCCAAGATTGGACATTAAACATGGGGACAGTAGTACAGCATGGAGAATACAGTCAATGATTCTGTAACATCTTTCTATGCTGATAGATAGTAACCACACTGGACGGTGTGAGGATTTTATGATATGGGTAACTGCTGAACCACTGAGTTGTGTATTTGAAATCAGCATAAGATTGTGTATCAACAATACTTCAATTAAAAAAAGATTGGATGCAATACAGAAGGGGCTCAAGATGGCAGCATGAGTAGGATGGTGGAAATCTCCTCCCAAAACCATATATATTTTTGAAAATACAACAAATGCAGCTATTCCTAAAGGAGAGACCAGAAGATACAGTACAACAGCCAGGCTACATCTACATCTGCAAGAACTCAGCATCTCACGAAGGGGGTAAGATACAAAGCCATGACCCAGCAGGACCCGAGCATTAACCCCTCCCCAGCTCACCAGCAGGAGGAAAAGAATCAGAGTGGGTAAGGACTGGAAGCACAGGGCTGCTAAATAACCAGCCCTAGTAATCTGTACTGGGAGCAAGACATACATTGCATGGTGTACTGGATATTAGAGAAATGGAAGGGTAGGGTCTGAGACAGACTGCAAGCTGGTTCCCACAACTGGCTTCCCTGGGACAAAAGAAAAGTGGGTGCTTTTTAAAAGTCTTAAAGGGACAAGGGCTCAACAACTGAACAAAATCATCCCAGCATACTCAGCCCAGCAGGCTGGGAATCTTGAGGAATTTTGGGCCCCCTAGCCCACTGGGAATAAAGCAGCCGTGAAGCCCCTCATGTTGATAAGCAGCCTGCAATTTGTTCCTCCTGGCCAGAACTGCAAGCGGACCGGCTGACTTGCCACAGCTGCAGAGCAGCTGAAGAGTGGCCCTGCCCACAGCAACCACACAGTCTCCTCCCAGCGTGCAGCTAACTGGGACAGATGGAGGAAGCCAGAGCAAGGTCCAGAAGGCGCAAAGGGGTGCCATTCTTGCAGGAGAACACACCTGGTAGGGCTGCAACCCCCCATAGTGCTCTAGGCTAGCCCAAGGGTGGCACCACCCATGGAAGCTCAGAGATTATCCCAGAGGGTGCTCCTGGTGTGCGGGTAGATGGCACAGGCAGCAGAGAAGGGCAAGGTGACCAACAAGCAGGAAGGGACTTTGTTCTCCCAGCTGACACATGTGCCACCTGCCTGCAACCATTTCTATCTATTGCCATGAAAAGGCAGAAGAATCTGGTCCAGTAAAAAATCACACAGACAGGGGTGGAGCCAGGATGGCGGCATGAGTAGAGCAGTGGAAATCTCCTCCCAAAAACACATAGAGCTATGAAAATATAACAAAGAAAAATCTTCCTAAAATAGAGACCACAGGACACAGGACAACACCCAGACCACATCCACACCTGCAAGAACCCAGCGCCTTGCAAAGGGGGTAAGATACAAGCCCCAGCCCGGCGGGACCCGAGCGCCCCTCCCCCCGGCTCCCGGCGGGTGGAGAGAAACCGGAGCTTTTTTTTTTTTTGGCGAGCGCTTTTTGGAAGCCTTAGAGGGACGGGCCCCCGTTGCTGGGGAGGCAGGGTGGCGGGACCGGTGAGGAGGTGCCTGGGAACGGCGCCGGAGGACAAAGAATATCCCGCGTTTCTCCCTGCGAGACCTGGGGGCGGGTGCCTGAGACCGGTGCCTGAGGACGGAGGAGGTCGCGCGTTTTTCCCCTTTTTTTTTTTTTCTCTTTTTGGCGAGCGCTTTTTGGAAGCCTTGAAGGGACGGGGACCCCAGTGCTAGGGAGGCACGGTGGCGGGACTGGTGAGCGGGTGGCTGGGACCGGCGCCTGAGGACAAAGAATATCCCCCGTTTTTCCCTGCGGGACCGGTGGGCGGGTGCCTGAGACCGGCACTTGAGGACAGAGGAAATCGCGCGTTTTTCCCCTTTTTTTTTTCTCTTTTCTGCGAGTGCTTTTTGGAAGCCTAAAAGGGACAGGGACCCCGGTGCTAGGGAGGCAGGGCGGCGGGACTGGTGAGCGGGTGCCTGGGACCGGCACCTGAGGACAAAGAATATCCCGCATTTTTCCCTGTGGGACCGGTGGGTGGGTGCCTGAGACCAGCACCTGAGGACGGAAGAAATCGCGCGTTTTTCCCCTTTTTTTTCTCTCTTTTTGCCGAGTGCTTTTTGGAAGCCTTGAAGGGACAGGGACCCCGGTGCTAGGGAGGCAGGGCGGCGGGACTGGTGAGCGGGTGCGTGGGACCAGTGCCTGAGGACAAAGAATATTGAGCGTTCCTTCCCTGCGGGACCGGTGGGTGGGTGCTTTTTGGAAGCCTTGAAAGGACAGGGACCCTGGTGCTAGGGAGACAGGGCAGCAGGACCAGTGCGCGGGTGCCTGGGACCGGCACCTGGGGAAAAAAAAAAAAAAATCGCGTGTTTTTTCTTTTTTTTTTCCTTTCTGTTCCCTCTCTCATTGTTGCTGTTGTTGTTTTGGTTTGGAGAGTGCTTTTTGGAAATCTTAAAGGGGCAGGACAGGTCACTTAGACCAGAAGCAGGGAATCTGGGGATCTCTGGGCACTCTAACCCCCTGGGCAGCAGGGAGCACAGAGGCCCCTTACGGAGATAAATAGTCTCCTGGCTGCTCCCCCTCCAACGGGGCTCCACCATTTTGGAGGAACAGCCCCAGCCAGGCCAAGCCCACAGCAACAGCGGAGATAAACCCCAAAGCAACTGGGCAGGAAGCAGAAGCCCTGTCTGCGCACAGCTGCCCAGCACAAGCCACTAGAGGTCGCTATTCTCCCAGGAAAAGGCTACAAACCAACAAGAAGGGAAGCTCTTCCAGCGGTCACTTGTACCAGCTCTGCAAACTATCTCTATCACCATGAAAAGGCAAAACTACAGGCAGACAAAGATCACAGAGACAACACCTGAGAAGGAGACAGACCTAACTAGTCCTCCTGAAAAAGAATTCAAAATAAAAATCATGAACATGCTGACAGAGATGCAGAAAAAAATGCAAGAGCAATGGGATGAGATGCAGAGAAAAATGCAAGAGCAGTGGGATGAGATGCAGAGAAAAATGCAAGAGCAGTGGGATGAAGTCCGGAAGGAGATCACAGATGTCAGGAAAGAGATCACAGAAGTGAAACAATCCCTGGAAGGATTTATAAGCAGAATGGATAAGATGCAAGAGGCCATTGAAGGAATAGAAGCCAGAGAACAGGAACGTATAGAAGCTGACATAGAGAGAGATAAAAGGATCTCCAGGAATGAAACAACACTAAGAGAAATATGTGACCAATACAAAAGGAAAAACATTCGTATTATAGGGATACCAGAAGAGGAAGAAAGAGGAAAAGGGATAGAAAGTGTCTTTGAAGAAATAATTGCTGAAAACTTCCCCAAACTGGGGGAGGAAATAATCGAACAGACCATGGAATTATACAGAACCCCCAACAGAAAGGATCCAAGGAGGACAACACCAAGACACATAATAATTAAAATGGCAAGGATCAAGGACAAGGAAAGAGTTTTAAAGGCAGCTAGAGAGAAAAAGGTCACCTATAAAGGAAAACCAATCAGGCTAACATCAGACTTCTCAACAGAAACCCTACAGGCCAGAAGAGAATGGCATGATATACTTAATGCAATGAAACAGAAGGGCCTTGAACCAAGGATACTGTATCCAGCACGACTATCATTTAAATATGATGGTGGGATCAAACAATTCCCAGACAAGCAAAAGCTGAGGGAATTTGCTTCCCACAAACCACCTCTACAGGGCATCCTACAGGGACTGCTCTAGATGGGAGCACCCCTAAAAAGAGCACAGAACAAAACACACAACATATGAAGAATGGAGGAGGAGGAATAAGAAGGGAGAGAAGAAAAGACTCTCCAGACAGTGTATATAACAGCTCAATAAGCGAGCTAAGTTAGGCAGTAAGATACTAAAGAAGCTAACCTTGAACCTTTGGTAACCACGAATCTAAAGCCTGCAATGGCAATAAGTACATATCTTTCAATAGTCACCCTAAATGTAAATGGACTTAATGCACCAATCAAAAGACATAGAGTAATAGAATGGATAAAAAAGCAAGACCCATCTATATGCTGCTTACAAGAAACTCACCTTAAACCCAAAGATAAGCATAGACTAAAAGTCAAGGGATGGAAAAACATATTTCAGGCAAACAACAGTGAGAAGAAAGCAGGGGTTGCAGTACTAATATCAGACAAAATAGACTTCAAAACAAAGAAAGTAACAAGAGATAAAGAAGGCCACTACATAATGATAAAGGGCTTAGTCCAACAAGAGGATATAACCATTCTAAATATATATGCACCCAATACAGGAGCACCAGCATATGTGAAGCAAATACTAACAGAACTAAAGAGGGAAATAGACTGCAATGCATTCATTGTAGGAGACTTCAACACACCACTCACCCCAAAGGATAGATCCACCGGGCAGAAAATAAGTAAAGACACACAGGCACTGAACAACACACTAGAACAGATGGACCTAATAGACATCTAT